CCGCTGCTCCCTGCTGGCGGCCACCGTCCCCACCATCCCCAGGGGACCTGAAGCTGCCATCTGACCTTGAGAGCTTTACAGGTGCCATCTTGGGGCAGAGCGTGGGTCAACACAAAGTCCTCACAACTGCAGCCGCCCAGCGCTCGGCCCCTGCCACGCTCTGACCAGACGGACTTTTATGAAACGCGGGCGTGAACCAGGACTGCGCTGGCGGACGATAACCAGGCAGCATTTATCAGGAGGCTTGGAGAACAGGGCTGCACTCGCTGACCCAGAGGTCCCGCCTCTGAGAAGGCTTAGAAAGGAGGGCGACCAACCCGACCTTCTCACAACCAATGTGACAGGGGAGCGCGGGGGCCGCGGCTGACGCTGCGCTGTGGTTCGCAGGCAAGCCAGAAAGGGAGGAATTCTCGACACAAGGAGGAGACGTTTTCTTTTCCTCCTTGGTTGTATCGAGACGAGAAGACGGATGCGAGCGGAGCCCTGGCGCGTAGCCACCTCCTGAGTTAGGTGCTCGAACCCTCGCACCTCACGTCCTTGGCTTGCGCAGTAATCGTACACCAGCTCTTTCTGGAAGCCGCACACACGGTAGAGGTTAATGGGGAAAGCGGACTAGAAACCACATCCATGCTACGGTCAGGCGTATAAAATAACACGCATGAGTGTGAGAGCGGGAGCTGGATGGGTGCCTGGAAAATTTACCATACTGTGACTTTTGGGGGGTGGACATTCTGCCTTTGATTTCATTCCTGTCACTGTGATGCGGTTCCAAAAAAAAAGAAAAAAGAAAACTCTGATCTAACTACAGTGAAATCCCACACAGCTGGCACGGCCTGGCTCTGAGCCAGGACAGGCTGCCACCAATCTCACCCCCGCTCCCTTGCGGCACCACAAATGGCCTTTTGATGAGGAGTCGGGGTTTGGGGAATCTGGGTCCCGAGGGCAGAGCCACGTGGTCCTTCCTCAAAGCAGAAAAGGGAGGTTGCCCCTCCCGGGGACTGCTCTGCTGAGCCCGAGGGTCCCAGAGCCCCTGCCTTCCAGGAGACGAGGGGGTTTGTCCTGGGGGGACCCAGCCCCCGACCAGCGCTCCAGGTGGGGACGACCACGTGCAGTGGAGCCACACCCATCAGACCCCTAGGGATCAAAGCCTCAGGGACACACAGGTTCCCCCAGCCCGTTTCTGGGAATGTGGGTCCTAAGACAAAGATGCAAGATTCAGAAAAACAGACGTGATGCAGACAGCGCTGCCTGTACTGAGCAGCCAGAGAGAAGTCAAGCAAAGAAACAGCCAGACGAGCGACCGTGAGGAGCCGAACC